GCTCCTAGTTTCCGAAAGGTTCAGGCTTTACCCAAAATAAAAGGAGGTACATACGTACCTGCTCTTAACAATGGTATTGCACAGAGCAGCTGTTTACCTCCTCTTCTGGGGACCCTGCAGGTACTCTCCACTACTCCTCTTCTCCATGTGCCCCCATAACAAACAAGCAAGCACACTCCTGAGCCAGTCTGTGTGCATACATAGACACACACAGAACTGCCCCCTCCACAGGATTTACTTGACAGCAGCAGTTGTCTCTGGGGGAGCAGGGAGAGATAGTACAGCACTGGATCGATACAGGACTCAAGTATTGAGGGGGAGGGAGGACAAGCGACTAGTGGAAGTGTTTTTGTACCTTAATGCACCAAGGTAAATATGAAAGTCGCAACTGGGACAGGGGAAGAGGAGGCAGTCGTTCTCCCTCCAAAACAAAAAGAACAAAAAAACCAAAAACAAAACAAAAACCCTTTTTAGCTTTAGAACCACTTTTAGTCCATGAGGGGACTCACTCAACTACCCATGGCGTGGCGTGTCTCCACACTCCGCTACAGCTAGTCTGAATAGATTTTATAGAAAGTCACACTATAGAAAAAAAAAAACCCCAAAAAACCTCCCAGTTATTAAACTAATAATTGCCTTTTTAGGGCTATCATTTCAATATCAGCACATATACTTGAATGCATATCAAAACTCAACAACAAACTGTCGTCGACTATACTGGACTGGAGGTGGAGAGCTGGTGACTACAATCTTTTTGGTTTCCTTTATTTTCACCACGCATTGTAACCCTAAGACAGACAGTGTGTTAGCTATATAACAGCTTGTCAATAAGAGGGGGTAGCATATTATTAGGGCCACTGTAAGAAAAGGGAACTATACCTAACTGGTAAAAGTACATTTTTTAGTTACTTTCAAAGTCTGTTCAATATTTATTTGATTCTTCTTGTTTTTACAGAATGCATACACCAGCATTTCCCAACCTTTTTCCAGTCAGGATGCCCTTGAAAAAGGTATTTTCAGTCTCGCGGCACCAGTCTAATGGCTTGGTTTACATTAGTACATGTCCAAGAATGCACACAAAATTGTGAATGTTCCAAGCCCAAAAATATGCTGCTCTTTAGCAGATAGAGGAGTGTCATTAATTCTTAATAGTGCTCCCATTGCTGTCAATCAGAGCCAGTCAGTGGGTGGAGGCAAGCCACAGCTCTATGTCTAATGCATGCATAAAGCAGGGCTCAGGAGTGAGCATGCACCAGTGCGCCCATAGCAAGCAGCTTGCTATTGAGGCCACTGGTCAAGGGGGAGAAGCGAGCACTAATTGGGGACCAGAGAAGAAAAGGATCAGGGTTGCACTGTGCAAAACCATTGCAGGTAAGTATGAAAAAGAAAACCCTTTAATATTTTAATTTACAGCTGGTAATTCATCAAGAGGTGTGATGCATTCAAGCTCAACTCCAACAAACCTAAATTATCCCTTGTGGATGGGCCTCTCCCATGCCACAAGGTTTGAAGGTTCACCTGTTGAACATGTTACACCCATTATTAGGGTGTAACACTTTCAGCACCCCCTTTCCCCATAACAGCAGGCAGGAATTTCTATGCATGCAGCTGCTGTCACATTAAAATCAGCATGGCTGTGCAGGACTCCAAACTAGTGAGAAGGTCTGAGGAGCCAGTGACAATAGCAGCAGTACTGCTGAAGAGAGCCAGGTAGCTTGGCATTTTCATAAAATTATTTTGATGTGTGAAACCGAAACCCCTGCGTGGGCAAGTTATATGGACTTGGGAGTCTTATTTAAGAAAAAGTGGGCTGGCAAGCCTTAAAATGAAGCTTGGACTGGCATAGTTCTCACTTACAAATGCTTCTAACCACTGTGCTAAGCACCCCCCATTTCACAGCTACCTAAAAACATAATATGACAATCTGAACCATACAAATTCCAATGTAAAACACTTCATACAAGCAGGCGAGAGAAGAGAGCAAAAAAGAGGGACATAAAATAGCCCCAGATGTTCTGTATAACCTAGAGTCTGATACCTATTAAGAACCTTTTAGACCAGCTTATTAAAAAGGTCAAGCCACCCAAAAAAGCTACCTTGTATAAAATGTGAGATCTTGGGAACAAAGTCAAGTGATGACTTCTTTTATGTAGCATTGATTGCCATAGTGAGATTTCATGACCTGACCCCTTCACTATAGCCTACATTCACACCTGAGCAGAGAAATTTTCCTGGGCTGGGCAAGGAGAAGAGGAATTCTTCGTGCATATCACATGTTTACAGGCATTCCAATTGCAAGCTAAGGGATCACAAATACCAAAATATGTGCTCACATATTTTTTATATATATATATATATATATATATATATATATATATATATATATATATATATATATATATATATAAACATAGGGCAACTGAGCATACAATTGTTAACAAAACACAATTAGAAAGAATGGGATACTGCATAGTCAGGCATAAGGAAACAAGCAGAAAAATGCTCAAGTGTGAATGGGGGCTTACCAGGATAGGCACTCCTAACATTATAATTGTATTCTCTAAAGCGTAAAATAGGAAGAGGAAAACTGGAAATCTCATCACCAGATTCCCTGAGAATTCTAAGGAACTGTAGACTAGCGCCATTGAAAACAAACCTGGGTTTTGGATGGATGGGCGAAACCCAGACATACCAACAGTATTTAAAAAGAAAAAGAAAATAAAAAAAGCTGTGGAATGAGGACGAGCAATTAAATGAAAAATAGAATAATTTTAACTTTTAGAAATGTGTAATCTTTGAAAGTCACAGACTACATCTGCATTGTACTTCTTTTAGGCTGAGCCATCCAAGGGTGGGGGAGAGGACACGGTCTGCTCTTTTATTTTATTTTGTAATGAAGTGTGCCTACTATATCACCAAAAGCCCAGCCAGACTAAACCTTCAGAAGGACCCATAATAATCCACATATTATACATCATACAGTGTAATGTTTTCTGTGCAAAGATACATCATGGACATGAGATAATGAATATAGAATAGTGACCAACATCATCTACAATATACAAAGTGAACATGACCAGAAGCAATTGAATTAACTTTGGATTTAGTATCAGGTGTTTTATAGCAAGAGTGGAAGTGAAACATCGGTGTTACCTGTAAAAGAAAACAATGGAAATGGTGAAAAATCTTACATATGTAAACAGTGAATACATAGTATTAGTATACAATGGTGCAGTTGTGGATAAGTATGGATATACATTGCATATAAAAAGAACAAGAAACGTGCAAAAAAAAAAAAACCCACCCACACACCGCAGAGTGGAAAGTAACCCCTGGTTCACATATCTACACGTTCCTGCAGTCCACATTTTACATGGGCACGAGAGCCCATTCATTTGAATGGACTCCCGTACCCTGTGACATGCAGGGAAGAAGTCCCTGCACTTTTTCTGAAACCGCAGCAGACACGGGAACCTCGGTTCCCAGTTCGGTTGCAATTTCCAGTGCGGGTGACGTGCCCTTAGAATTAATGGCACCCGCCCGCGGGTCCGCATTCTTCTCTGGATCCGCAGCGGCACCACCCGCACATATGTGAACCCAGCCTAAAGGCAGAAGAAGATCCATTACCACTACAGAGTGAAAGAGGAAGAAGTAGATTCATTACCGCTACATAAAGTGCTCATATGCAGTAATGCATTTCTTTTTGGAGTTCAGTTGAAGGTTTTAGAAGTACAAAAAGATTCTTCTCTAAAAAAAATGTCAATTCTTGTGAGGTTTACAGGATATACAAAATAGTCAGGTGTTTGATATTTTAGTCTTTGGTAGATGTTGAAAAATTTACATTTGGGAGGCCTAGCCCTTTAACTTGCTCTCTACAAATGAGACAGCTTTTTGCTGCCTCTTTCTGGAGCAGTTGTAATTAGGATGACCTAATGCGTTTGATTTTTTTTAAAAGAGGAACATTCCCGGGAGTTTAGGGTTTAAAAGATCCTGTCACCAATGAAAAAAAAAAAAAAAAAAAGTGCATGTAAAAGAGAAAAAAAAAAAAAAGTATTTTGAAAGCTTACATGCAGATTTTTTTCTATTTCCATAAATATTTACTTGCAATCCGCCTTTGTACATGACTACTCTAGGAGTAGAGTCACTGCCCTAGCACAGCCCCCGTCCTTGCATGTTATAGCCCTCTTCTCTTGGGAGCGTTTAGTTTGTCTGTGCCAGCACTTCTTCCCCTCCATGTATCTCCCTACCTAACATGTAGCTACTAGGACAGGAGTGAAGGGGAATACTATAAAGTGTCACTGAAGTGACAGGTGTTGACATCACATCCAAGATGGTGATGCCTAGCATGAGCCTCAGGTCTTTTGGATATCTACACAAGGCAGGGTTTATATATATATATATATATATATATATATATATATATATATATATATATATATATTTTTACATATATAAAAAGCAACAGACATGCATAAAATATGCCAAAGCCCATATAATCTTATCAGAAGACAAATGGTCTCATAAGGGTGTGATTAAGGTTAGGGGTAGGTTAAGTCTCATGGGAGAAACAGTGCTAAGAGTGTTAATTCAGGAGTTGGGTTAGGTTCTGGTTAATGTTAGGGATGGGAGGACTGGAAGAAATGAATTGCTTTCAATGCAGTTAGCCCTGTACCAAGCCTCTCAGCATTGGAAACCTTTCAATTGTATTCTCTTACTTCTCCAGACACAGCTTCTGGATGCTTTGGTTATTATTGGGCATTGTCTCAAGCAGCCAAGTTTTGTAGATGAACCCTAAGAGCAGAGTATGTTGTATTTGTAGATAGATATTCACACCTCCACAAACTGGTTCTCAGACATTGAGATCATGCAAGTAAACTGTGAGCTTGATGGCATTGATAAAGTCTGGAACAAAGAGGAATAAAGCTGGTACCAACACCAAAAGTCAAAGCTGGAGTATAAATATGACAGCAAGCTCACTGCATCTGTAATGGAGAGGTTACCTGGGAACTGGTGTTTGCACCTGGAGCTTGGTGTACTCTATTTTCCACGCATGGGGATCGTGTTGTTCCAAGAACCGCTTTGCACTTTCAACCGTGTTCTGGAAAGAACAGTGAAATCATGAGTGACAAAAGGGAGAAAAAAAAAAGGGTTGTACTTGCCCCACACTTAGACGTACCCTATTACTTCACCCACCTCCATGAGCATGGCTACAGTCATAGGCCCAACACCGCCTGGCACAGGCGTGATGTAAGAGGCCCTCTCCATTGCTTCTTCATATGCCACGTCACCCACTACACGTTTGCCAGAGGGCCTTGAAGGATCTAGTTTAAAAACAAAACAAAACACATCTTAATCATCAACTTAAAGCAAGGAAATACACACCAGAGCATCGATATGGCTAGACCAGGGCCTAATAGGTTGCTATTGGCTATATATTTCTACAATCTTTGCACTGCAGAAAGGCACACGCTACCAGCTTTAGCTGCCTGGGGATTTTTTTTTTTTTCTGTGCAGCCGTTCTTTTGACATACACACCTCTGTCACACTGCATTGTTAGGCAACACTTATTTCCCTATCAGCAGCTCAACTTTCAAAGTCACCTTCATTGCCTCCGGCAGCCTGCTCACTGGACAATAAATCAAGTGTAAAAGAAGTGCAGGCATTTCAAAACGGCGCTGCGTTACTTTAACTGACAATTGTGCAGTCATGAAACTCTGTACATAAATTCATTTTATTTTATTTTTTCCCCACAAATAGAGCTTTCCTTCGGTGGTATTTGATCACCTGTGCATTTAATTTTTGCGTTATAAACTAGTGGTGCACTCAAATGAAAATTCTGGTGCCGAAACCGAAAATTCAAAATGCACTTGGCCGAAAACCAAAACACATTATAGAGAAATACACAGCAGCATGTGCTTGCTGGCAGGAGAGAGACCTTGTGTTTACACACAGGTCTCTCCCCTGTCTGTTTTACTTGGCGATCGCCAGGTGCCAGCGGGGAATCTTTGGCTGGGACCCAGTGATTGACATGCCTGGCTGCCAATAGTGGCACCGGTAGGGTGGCACACGCCCTCTATCTGGAAATGTAAATCACATACATACATATATATATATATACACATATACATACACACACACACACACACACACACACACACACGTGATTTTGTGCAGCCCTGCAGCAGTACTTCTAGTAGAGGAAGACAGGCAAGCGGTTAAAAAGAGAAGTATGGGATTTTTTTTTCCCCAAACCATACTTGCCTAGGTGGATGTAGCATCAGTCAGATGCTGCATCTGTCCCCCGCCGGCTCGAAGGGTGTTAACTCAGCGATCACACGACCGCTGATCACTGTGTTCTCACTGCCACTGTAAGCAGAGAGTAACGGTCAGTCAACGCTGTCTGCTTTGAGCAAAAACCACCCCCCACGCTCACTAGAGCACTGAGCTGTGGAGGGGGAGGGAGAGGCTGGCTCGGGCTCTCAGTGGCTGGCTGAGAGGTTGAGCTGGGTGTTGCTCCAGACTCCGGGGTGGATACCAACCATATGGTCGCAATCCTTCCACAGCCTGGACCGGCTCTGTGACATGAGCAAAAAGCAGGCTTCAGTCCACTGTCAGCAGAAAATGAGTCACAGGAGTGCAGAACAAACTGCACTCCCGTGATCCATAGGGGTAAAGCTGAAGAAGCTTTAGCTGTCCTTCTCTAATAAAATAAATATGAAAAAAAAAAAAAAAAAAAACACCACATGACCCCCACTGCCTTGCATACACACATGAATACAAAGCACGGATAGGTCACATGTTTATACAATCAGCAACTGCATATTGGGTATTGCTGCAACATCAGAAAGGAAAAGCAATTATTCTAGGGCCATAATTCACATAAAGTTGGACATGTTTGGCATCCATCTACTCGACGCAACCCAATCTTATTTTTTTTACAAAAATATTGTGTTTGCCCACAGAAAAAAAAAGACTTTTAGTGTATTTTTGCCAATAAAAACAAACTTGAAAAAACAGTTGTGCAAATATCATGCAATAAAATAAAAAAAAATGCAACTGCCACCATTTTATCTGGTAGGGTCTCTGCTTTAGAAAACAAATGTTTGAGGGGTTCAGGAAATCTTCTTGCAAACCATGCAAATTTTAGACATTTGAGAAAATTTAAATTTCTCCAGATACAAAGTGGTTAAAACAAGTCCAGATAGCACTCTTCTCAACACACAAAGGCACAGAGCAAAATCAGCAAGGTGAAATTACTAAAAACTTTACAGCACCAGATATCCAGACTCAAAAGTCAACATTATATACAGTCTTCCTTAAAAACCCTCCATCCAAAATGGGATTACATTTGCAATCCCCCAGTGTACAACTGTACCATCTACTGCAATGCCCAGTTGTGCAGTAGACAACTGGTACAGTGTTTTTGCTCCCTGTGTTAAAGGAACCTTAGAGCCACTTCAAACAGTTGCTTGAGCCACAGTTTACAGCAAATTCCCCACCTCCACCACCCACCATAACGTTTACCACTGCAGCCAGACAGCTCACAAAGTGAATACAAGTGCTTGGCTCGTGGCTTCGCGTGCAGCATTTCAAAACAAAATTTGCCCTTTGCTGATGCCGCTCTACCGCCCCCCTGAAAAGCGATCCACTACACATTGCTTTTCAGACTGTAGGACACCCTCCTATGTGACAAAGCCCTTACTTCTTCAGTTAGAGGAAGTAAACTGTCAAAAAACAGAAACACAGGATACATTATGGAAAATAAAGCCACCAAAGCTCTTCCAACATGTATTTCTATGGTGCCAAAGGTATGAATATGCACATAAAATATCTCCACTTTAGACCAGTTATCTGCTGACCTGTATTCGTGTCCTGAATGTTCTCCATGTCACCTTAATGGCCAGTGATCTGCAGCCCAAACAGGTCCTACACTGCTTCCTGGCTGGTTGAATAGGACCAGTCACCACACACCTCACTCTACAGAGCTCCGTATCCAAAGAATAAGAACTTCCAGCCCAACTACTGTAAAACACAACTTTACATTCTCATAAAGACACACGCAACCTTGAGTTTAAATTTGACACCTAGTTGTAAAACAAAAACTGTATCCAACATACAAGCGACACCTTCTTATTGATCACATCTTATCTATAGGAGGACTTTAGTCTTTCTTGGCAAGCTGATGAATTGAAGCACCCTACTAAACCCACTCACTAATACAAGTTTTTTTTTTTGTTTTTTTTTACTACTAGACATCAGAAAAGCACATAACATAGATGTTCCATTACATAGCCATGCCCATAAAACCTGGTTACAAAAAGACCATCATTCAGGAATGCAGTCTCACTAATAATTATACTAGTAGGCATCAAAGACAAGAAAAATGAGCCTATTACACGTATTTACCTCCCGGTCTAGCAAAGCATTTTTTGGGTTTTAACAATTAAAATGAGCTAAGAAACCTTATACACAAAGATAAATCAAGAAAATCAAGTATAAGCATTGCTAAAGCCATTAGGGTGTGACAGCACTGTACTTCAGACCAACAAGGGGTCCAATTCATCCCACCCTTCCCAAAGATTCCTCAGGCAGCCGATTCACCCTCCAGAGTTGCTGAGTAGACTTCCCAACGAAAACCAAACCTTCCTACATTATGTGGGGCAACCAAGAGCTTCATATGTCACCCTATAAAGTGGAAGGTCAGCATTAATCTCTTCTACATCACCAACGTTAGAGTATTCGTAAATCCACCTCCAAGCAATACTAACATGGTTTCAGGAGACTTACCTACCCCTAACCTTAATCAAACCCTTAGGCATCAACAGCAAGGCTCCTACTTTCCATTCATCATACATCTGCATCAGAGGCTCGTCATCAACTCTGAGGAAAGGGATTAGTCCCCGAAACGCGTCAGTCATTCGACCGCACTGACACTGAGAACACCATGCCTGCCGTTGTGGCCATTGTCATTTTTCTATGCTTATTAGATACATGCTTCGTCTGTGAGTATTTTTTTTTTTATCTCATTCCTACAATAAACCTTGGATAATGCACTAGGTGTGTGCGCCACCTGTTTTCTCTCTATCCAGTGGCTGATTTCCCCATCTGAGGAGGGCTGCACCCTTGAAGCATTTCCTTTGGTTGTCGCTGTCCTGGTACCCTTGGCTTCCCTTTTGGCTGTGCATATCCTGAGGCGCGGGAGAGTACATACGATATCCGGTTCTTAATCAAACCCTTATAAGACCCCCTTGTCAGGCCATTTGTCTTCTGATAAGATATGTGCATGCCCGTTGCCTTGATTCAGATAAAGCACTAAGTGAGTTTACCACATTTTTCAGCTACAGAACCAGTGTAATTGAAGTGTTGATTTTAAAGGGATGCGGTGGCAACTCACTAGTACATTTGGCACTTACTGCTTCCCCTTTTCACCATCCACTGGTCACTATTTTTTTTTGGTCAGCCACCAGCCTGCCACCGTGCTGTGGATAATATGAATCCTCACGAAGGAGAGTCCGCAGTAGTACAGGTTGGTCAGTGTAAGTGCTGCCTTAAACTTGATCGATCAGATCGGGTGGGGGGGACAAGGACTGTCCTGGTGTGGAGGAGGCAGCAGCGGGAGCATCCTCTGCTCAATCGGGTGGCTCGGATTGCTTTAAACAGAGAACTGACCATCGCCTCAATAAGCCCTGCTGCTTGCCCACAGCAGGGCTAAATGTAAAAATGACAAACACAAAACAAGAAAAAAAAAAAAAAACATATCCTGCCCAGTGCCCAGAACTGCATTTTCCGGGCATCAGGATTTGAACATTTACAGGAGTATATGTCTGATGTAAATAGCGTAGCTGTATCATCCTGTCTGTAAAGGTTATAGCTGTAGGCAGGTAGATGCGAACCTCCTCACTCCGCTGCTCCTCTGGGACAATGGCTGACCAAAGGTCTCTAGCTCTCCAAACCAGTACATGGAGCTAGGGCCATATAGTATCTAGAGATCAATTTAGCATGATACGGATCCAGTAGAACAGCTTCCAGTTTAATATCATCCAGCTGTACTATACCTCCCCCCAACTGAGCAGTCGCAGCATGACGTATGTGAAAATATTTAAAATGCCATGTCCTCGGGATCCAATTTCACTGAATAAATGCTCAAATGAACAAAAGAGCCCTCCTGTGTACGACTGAACTGACGAGTGTACTTGATCCCATAATGAGCCCAAAATGCACCACCTTTCAGCTCACCAACACACATTTAAAAGTGTACTTGCTATTAATACAAGCCAGTGGCGAGTGGAAATTATGGTGGGGGCGTCTTGATGAGCAGGCTTAGAGCTCAGGCCGGATCTGTCATTGGCACTGGGAGCCGTCAAGACTGCTCAATAGCTGAGTGCAAAGCAAGGAGTGTGTGCTGTGCTCTCTGCCTCCCCCTAGAGTGCAGTACCCAGATCTGTGAGTGAACAACAAAGTACGGCAACTTTTTATGGGGGGAGGGGGTTGGGGATGCTGTCTGTGTATGCATGTAGAATTGTACATGCGTCTGTGCACGTGTGTGTGTGTGCGCACGTGTGCGCGCGCGTGTGTTGGTGGCGAGTAACTAAGGCCTGGCTAGTAGCTCAGGACTTGAAATTTTAAGCCCTGAATACAAGGATAAATAAAAATGAAAGTAATCCAGTTACTTGTGATGCTTTATGGAATTTGGAACATTTGCACTTAGCATCCATATTCATCTATTCTACCAGGCGACTGCGGACTATTTATTGGGTACAAAGGGAGTGTCAAATAGTGGTGCACAGATTGCTTTTAGAAAAAAGTACACAAATGTGTGAAAAGTCTACATAAAGTGATTACATTTGTGACTGTTAAAACACTCCTATTAAAATAAATGGAAAATGTAAGACCTCCCACGTGACAGTGCTTGGGACTAGCAGCAAATTGTTAAGCCCCAGCACATCACACGACTGAAGGAATGATGTCCACCCTCTCTTTAGGCTCCAATACCAGCCAACAACATAAATTACAAGCAGCACTCAGTGCTTACCTGATATGTGGTTGATGCCACAATCAATCACAATAGCACCAGGCTTAATCCATTCACCTCTAACCATCTCCGCTCTACCAGCGCCAACGACTAGTATGTCCGCTCTGCTCACCTGTAACAAAGCATATATATATTAAAAAAGAAAAAAAAATATATATCAAATCAATAGGGAAAGAAAAGAAAGGAGAGAAGGAAAGGAGAAAAAAAAAAAAGAAAAGAAAAAAATATTTTTTTTTTTCTTCTTACATGTATGTGAGAAATGTCTGGATTGGCCAAGGGTCAAGTGTTTAAAGTAGAACTCAATTAGATGAAGTGAGGAAGCAGTATGAACATTCAAGATTGATAACTTCCTTCATCTTGCTTGAGGAGACTGTCAATTTCTGACAAGAACCTGACCTGACCGATAGTTTTAAAGGAATGTCCTTAAAGAGAGGGGAAGTCCTATCGTTGACAACTTTCATGGGAATGGGGTCCCCACAGTGAGATTTATCCTTCTACTCAAGACAGAAACTCTGCCACAACCATTTTCCAAATAATACTAAAAAAAATGCATAACGGACAATAGTCTTGCGAAGCTATAAAACACATGTAATTTCAAGGATGCGTGATTAGCATCGCCCAACGCCAGGGACATGTAGTTCTGGGCACCGGGAAGGTAGTTTTCATTTACATTTAGCCCCACAGCAGGCAAGCAGCAGAGTTTGTCAGGTGGAAGCATTCGGGCGGCTGCACTGCCACCCAATTGCTTCCAAACATATTAAGAAAGTGTGCCCCCCCCCTCTCCCATGTACCCCAGGCCCCACTTGACCATCTGCGGGCCCAGGTTGGGAATAGCAGGCACTACCAGTTTAGACCCTGCATGTCTCATTAAATAAAAGCCGTCACCAAAAAAATATAATCACATAGGAAATGAAAAGAAAAGTTTTTTTTTTTTTCAAATTGTATTTTAAAAAAAAAAAAAAAAAAAAATTTACACCCAAGCACATAAAATTCCTCCGCTCAAAAAATGTTGAGGTCCTAACAATGAAAGGGCTAAAGGATAAGTTCAAATTTGGGAACATGTTACATGTTCCACCCCTTTTCAGGGTGGAACATGTAATGTTCCCACTCCTGCAGGGGCTCAGCGATCAGAGCCCTCTGTGTGACAGCAGTACAGGAAGAGGTTCTCCATACCAGCTGTCACTTTTTGAAAAGAGGACAGATGTGCGGGGCTTTTTTTTCTACTGAGATCTGTGAATGAATCAACTACAAGAACCGACATCCATTGCGGATGTCAGCTTGTAGTTCTCAATGAACTACCATGGTGCTTGTTCAGTAAATGCATATTTTTTTAACCTGCAAAAAAATTGCGCATGTATTTTTTTTATGTGAACTTATCCTTTAACAGAGCAGATATCGGAGCTTGATTTGACAGTTCAGCATACGGTAGTACTGAGCACCCAAGTGCTTCTGTGTGCGAGGGTAACCTGAGAATAACTTTTTTTCTCATTGGGGCCGATGCCTCATTTTCTTGCTCAACGCACATGCTTCCGCCGAGTGTTAAGAGTGCCCGGACGCTCCCCTTTCCCAACAAGCACTCAATCGGTGCTCATCACACTGCAAGGTCTCTCCCCTCCTCCCTGCTAGTCCCAGGGTGCAGTGCTCGAGAGATGCGCAATGTTAAAAAGGTTTAAGTCGCCATAAAACCCCTTTTGCTTTTAAAAGCCTCAGTCATTCCTAAAAGCACCTCAGATTTATATATGGTTTGATTAAAATTAGGACAAATAGATTGTCATGAGGGACAAGTAGATTGGAACCCTGATTTAGTCCCTGGACAAGTAGTTTTTTTTTTAAAAAAAAGTTTCCACACTCCTGTGATTTGCAAGCATTGCTCCAAATAACTTTTTTTAAAGCTGAATTCCAGGTATCTTTATTACATACTCACATTGGTCCAGCTTGGCACAACATAGGTATGCCTATCTTATACTGGGGACTACTGCAGTGATAGCCATGATCTTTTGGGTCCCGGTCAGATTTGGTGAAATGACCATGGAAGAGGGTCGCTCACTCAGCACTGCATCTATTTTTACAGTGCCTTTTATTTTTTTATATTGAAAACAAAGTATTCTTGGATTGGATGAGATGCATGTACCATGTAGAGGCTCCGGTACCATTTTTTTTTCCAGAATCTCCACCTTGTCCAATGAATATGCTTGGTATTCATTGGAAAAGAAAGGCACTATATGAATGGCAGCAAAGCCAAATGAGCAACTCCCTGTGGTCAGTGTGCAGAAAGGAATCTGATCGCACAAAACTTGGGGCTATCACCATAGTAGCATTGATTACTACAGTTATTTCCAGCTTCCCTAAGAGGACTAAGGTCTAACACACACACACACACACACACACACACACACACACACACACACACACACACACACACACACACACACACACACACACACACACACACACACACACACACACACCATAACCTGCAGTTCAGCTTCAATGGACTAGTTCCTGCTAGACAAGCCTTTGTATAAAACACAGGAGCTCCCTTATAATGCTATCCACTCTCCATTATGCATGGCCCATCTCATTCATAAAAATGGTGACGCCAGCGATGGCCAAAGTTCTACAATTGAGAGGTCATGTACCATGTAGAGGCTCCAGTACCATTTTTTTTGTCATTCAATTCTGTTGATCTCCACCAGCTTCAGAGTCCCGAGACAAGCACATTTGTAAAGCATCACAGTGATAGATAAAATGTGTTTTTTCCCCCCTTTTTCCACTTCTGCTCCTCAGGCCATATTAAAATGTCCTAGACAAAGTGGTTATAGCAAGCTCATGGCTGGTGTCATTTTTCAGCAAGCGATTGGCTGTTCAGTAAGTGATCTTTTATTGTGGGCCAGTGCTGCTCAAATCCTCCTGCTCCACCTGGGGGCCCGGGACTGCCATAAGCTATGGTAACTTTGAGAGCAGAATTCCCCTGGGACTAACAAACCCGTTTCACAGCTGTCATTACTCAACTACTTTAGTTCTGTATGCAGCTAAATCAACCATAATCTGATTGGTTATCTGCAGTGGAGAGGGGGGGGGTTATTGCGGGTCTGAAAGAACCCGGACGTCTCCATAAAAAGAACCTGTCACCTGCCTATGCCATCACATAGCACGCTTGATTGTAATAAGAAATTAAATGATAGAAAAACAAAATAAAATGTTTTAAAGAATATAAAATTGCAATGACATAAAAGAATTTTAAAAAATGTTGTCCCCAGAAGAAGTGAATAGGAAATCTCTCCAATACACAGATAGCAGTAAAACCTGACCGGGGTCCGAACTACGCCTCCCATTTTCTCCTAAACTACACAAAAATCAGTTTTGAGCATAGATACAGTTTAAAGGATAAGCCCACCTTTAGGAGCATGTTACACCCATATTTAGGGTGTAACATGCTCTTGTACACCCACCTCCCTTCACCAGCGCTCCCCTCTCAGTGACAGGGGATCCTCTCTTTGCACCCAGGGTCACTTTGTCAACAGCTCGGCTATGTGGGCAAAGCAGATTCCCATGAATGGAAAAAAAAACAACAAAAAAAAACCCAAAAAAAACTACATGTACCATCTTCCACCCCATCAGACGTACTTGTAGTATGAATGGGGTGCAAGCATGCTACTCAGCATGCTGTTCCTTCCATTCAGTCTTCCTCTAGCTTGCCTACTGAAAGCCTATACAGGGATAGGAGCACATAGCTAAAAAGACGACTATTCAGGAGCTGATGTTGTACCCACAATCTGCTGATCACAGGTGCAACGCTCTGCAGGCTCCAGAAAAAACATATTATTGCATATTTGGTTTAATCCTCAAAAATATGTACATTTATTTATTTACATTTTTTTGAACAGTGAGCCTTTAATGCTTCCAGGAAGTTTTAATCATCAGTCAAAGTAAAGCAGCCATTGTAAATACAAATTGTTTTCCAGCCCAGTTCACAGGAATGAAAGATCCAAAGAAAAATATCCATAAAAAGTCAATTGGTAAAAAAGTTACAATACAAAAAAGTATGTATGTTACAGCTAAGGAACCATGTTTTATGTGCAAACAGCTGTATAACCCCCCATTATGTAAAAAAGACTTTAGAAATGGTTACACAAGTGATGCAAATGTTTACATGCAATAAAAAGGCACTTACCTCCTCACTCAGTGGATTTGTCTTGGAATGGCAGGTGGTGACTGTAGCATGGTTCCAAAGCAACAGGTCATGCATTGGTGCACCCACAATCTTACTGCGTCCAATGACCACTGCTCGCTTCCCAGCAATCTGAACGCCTAAACATACAAAATACAAAAACTGGTCACAACGCATGGGAAGTGGGAAGAAAAAAAAAAAAAGTCCTTTTATGAAGAAATTTGAATTTTTTTTTTTTTTTATTGGTTATGTTTTATAGCAGAAAATAAAAAAATATTGTTTATTTTCAAAATTGTCAGTCTTTTTTTGTTTATAGCACAAAATTAAAAACCACAGAGGTGGTCAAATACTACCAAAAGATTTGTGGGAAATAAAAGGACATAAATGTCATTGGGTGCAGCATTGCATGACTGCGCAATTGTCAGCAACTTTGTAGCCCAAAAAAATGGCCTGGTTAGGAAGGGGGGGGGGGGGGGGGGGTAAATCTTCCAGAGGGCAAGTGGTTAAACGAAAAATAGTTTGCTCTGTTTTTGTACAAGAAACATATTTTCGTGCTTGTCCCTTCAGATATTGTCGCATAAACTGTGGTGATCAGCTGTTAGAAGCTGTGTACTAACAATCAGATTATTGTAAAATCCCTCCAAAATCGATTTTTTATGGCTTTTTTTTTTTTTTTAAATTGTACCCAAAATATACTGACACAAAACCTTAAAATAGCCATGTTTCCTTTATTTCTGTTTATTATTTTATCTACAAACACTTGTTTGTTTACATCTTTCTCTCCAGCAAGGAGAGAAAGATAATGCATCTTTCTCTTTATTCAGAGGAGAGTGCCAGGTCCTGATTATCAGTATGAGACACGGGGCTCTTTGTGACAGCCCGGTCTCTGTGCTGGGGAACACATATGTGGCTCCACAGATAAAGGCCCACTTCCATGAGGCCACATATATGCATATGGTCAGCAGGAAGGGGTTAAACATTCGACAAAATGCAGCATGCAGGACTTAAAAATGAACTGCACCTGCAGCGCACTGGCGTAAAGAGTTCCATAGGATTTAGAGGGATATAGTTTTCATGAATTTTTTTTTTTTTAATCACCAAAAGCATATTAAAAACCGATCAGTGAGAAAGGGCCCTTGGTTCTTAAAAACACTCCACCTGTTTGTCGTATGAGATCCAGACATCCTTTGGGAGTACAAGGAATAAAGCAATCTCCAAGATCTCCTCTAGCAAGTTTACCGGCATTTATACTTGTTAACCTGTGGAAAAAAGAAAGACATTAAAATATACTGTATACCAGGGATGTCATCCCAAAATTTGGTAGTCAGGTTCAATATATTCAGATTACACCCCACACAATGGCTATATACATAAGTCTTTCTAGGCACAGCAGTAATACCCACAAAACTCCACTACCTCCCTGCCCTAACAGTCATCTGCCAAACTGCTCTAAGGCGGCATTTAACTTACCACCCAGGTTGGGGTGTTTTGTGTAATAAATGGCCGCAGAAGCTAGCCATTCTGAATTCCTCTGAAGGTTCGGAGTCTGCCAGGGCGTATTGGTGGGTTCCCTGGCCACCACAATGCAAACCATCCCAAGTGTTCATCCAGGAGCAAGCCACAGGTAGTTTAGATAAGGTGGCAAGAGAAATCTTAGCTAGAGAAAGAAAACTCTTGCTTCAGTCTGGGTTCACATGTGTGGGCCGGTTTGCAAGGGGATATCAAGCCCTGTCTGCTGCAACTTCATTCAGCAGTTCAGGTGCAAATTGTTAAAACGTATGAGATTGGAAATCAAAAATGAACAGGGATGAAAATTGTACCGGACTCTTTTTGAAAATCGCACTGCGGCCGACCCACACATATGTAAACCGAAACTCCATAGAAAAATCTTTTGGTTTGCATGTCATGCCACAGGGACTGAGTGCCAACAGACCAGGAGCATGTGTGTCTGAACTGCTAAAACCAGGTATGAGAGTCCAAAGCTAGGCTTAATTACATGATTCAAACACAAAAATGCAACAAAAAATACACAATGCGTTTCAGGGGCTTAGTCACTCCCCCGTCATCAGGGCATATGCATGCGTAAATCTCATATGGCTGTACATGACTGAAATGCAACAACAGTTTTATACTATACAGCACAGTGCCTTGAAAAAGTACCCCTTGAAATTTTCCACATTGTCATATTACAACCAAAAATGTAAATGTATTTTATTGGGATTTTATGTGAGACTAGCACAAAGTGGCACATAATTGTGAAGTGGAAGGAAAATGAAATGGTTTAACATTTTTTTTTACAAATATAGTGGTGTGCATTTGTATTCAGCCACCTTTACTCTGACACCCCTAACTAAAATCTAGCGGAACCAATTGCCTTCACAAGTCACCCAATTAGTAAAGCAGTATAAATATATCTGTTCTGTGAAGCCCTCAGAGGTTTGTTAGAGAACATTAGTGAACAAACAGCATCATGAAGGCCAAGGAACACACCAGACAGGCAAGGGATAAAGTTGTGGAGAAGTTTAAAGCAGGGTTAGGTTATAAAAAAAAATATCCCAAGCTTTGAACATCTCGGAGCACTGTTCAATCCATTTGAAAATGGAGAGAGAATGGCAAAACTGCAAACCTACCAAGACATGGCCGTCCACTTAAAACGGACAGCCTAGCTAAAGAGCATTAATCAGAGAAGCAGCCAAGAGGCCCATGGAAACTCTGGAGGAGCTGCAGCGATCCACAGGTCAAGTGGGAGAATCTGTCCACAGGACAACTATTAGTCGGAGCCAAATACAGTGCAATCTTAGTAGAAAACCTGTTAGAGTCTGCAAAAGACTTGAGACTGGGGTGGAGGTTCACCTTCCAGCAGGAGAACGACCCTAAACATACAGCCAGAGCTACAATGGAATGATTTAGATCAAAGCATATTCGTGTGTTAGAATGGCCCAGTCAAAAGTCCAGACCTAAACCCAAATGAGAATCTGTGTCTTGTAAATTGCTGTTCACAGACGCTCTCCATCCAATCTGACAGAACTTGAGCTTTCCTGACGGCTCCATGTCAGCACAGCTGGGTGAGGCCATTTGCCACTGGCGTTGGACTTTCTCTCATCAGAAACCTTCAGTCATCCTGTTGCACTATGGCATCTTACTCTGAAAAGTTTCTCGTGGCGATATCAGCCAGAAGAGTCTCGGAACTAGCAGCCTTAGGGTTTAAAGAACCCTTTCTTTCGTACTATCCATATAGGGTCATGCTTAGACAAATGCTAGGATTCGTACCCAAAAGTTGCCTCCAGGTTTCACATAATGCAAGATATTGCACTCCCGATGCTCCTTTCGGAAAATTCCAAGGACCCAAATCCCCTGGATGTTGGGCACTCATTGAGAGACTCTGTAGACGCTACTTCTGAGCTCAGGAAAACAGATCATCTTTTCACCATCCCTAACGGTGCACAGATAAGCTCAAGAGCTTCTAGTAGAGTTATCACTACCCTGGGTGGAGCCTAGCCGGTGACGTCACGCCGTTCCGTACCTCGTGGAGGCCGGCGGCCATCTTTGACTCTGGGATACCCTGTGAGTGACCTGTGTTTATTCTGCAATAAAGGCTTTTTGGAACATACTACACTATCAGTGTTTTTTGGGGTGGGCTTTATGGTCAAGCCCCCCCCCCTCTCTTAAGGTGGATATCTTATATGAGTGCCCTGGGTGAGGAGTCTGGATCAGTGTTACTAAGTGTCTCTGGATGTCTGGAATCCCCCTGCTGGCCAAGGAAAGGTGTATCCCCATCAGAGTGACAGCTTGCCAGATGATCCATACAGTTTCAACTTTCTAGGACCAGGAGTGGTCTGACAACTCAAATGCGCATATTATGCGCTTTCTGGTGAGTGCATAATATTAGACACCTTTCAGCACGGAGTCAACCACCTCTGCACGGTTTACTGGGACTATTGTATTATGTTATGAGGACACTTCTCAATCACCACTAAGCACCAGTAGCCCATCACTTATTACCCTATATGTTAATTTATATTAACCTTTTGTAGCGCTGCATGTGTTATTATTATTTTAGTGTGAAGGTTTGGGGTTTGTGCCTTTCATGCTAGCTGCTTGTCATCCATCTCCAAGCGCTCGTTAATTATTCTCTTAGAGGTTTGCATGTGCCTGAGGGAGTCTCAGTGCATTCTACCTCATGGGCAGCAGTGGGCCGAGTCTCCCCGGAAACAATCTGCGAAGCGGCTACATGGTCTTCTGTTCATACCTTCATGACTCATTGTATAGAACCTGCGTCTGACTACTGCCGATTTTGGCAGGGGTGTCTTGGCCTCTGCTTCCAGTCGAAATTAAATTGGCTTTGCATTACCCTCCTGTGTGTGGCTAGTTAAATCCCAGCTGTGCTGACATGGAGCCGTCAGGAAAATTACAGTATGTATTTGAATTCAATTTTCCATTTTCCTGACAAGCTCCATTGCAGCTCAAATCCCACCCAGTTTAGTCGTAAGAGTTACAGAACGCCTAGGATGAGGTGGGTCAAAAATTTGAGTTATGTCTTGATCAGGCAGGGGGTGGGCGGGCCTCGCCCATCTGTGCTGCCATGCAGCTCGTCGGGAAAAGAAAATTGCAGTATTTGAATTAAATTTTCCATTATTTTGCAAAGAATGGGCAAAAATTTATCTCTAGATGTGCAAAGCTGGAAGAGACATCCCAAAAAAGACTTGCAGCTGTAATTGCAGCAAAAGGAGGTTCTACAAAAGTACTGACTCAGGGGAGTGGAATACAAATACACACCACACTTTTTAGATATGTGCAAAAAATTTTGAAAACCATTTATCATTTTCCTTCCACTTCACAATTATGTGCCACTTTGTGTTTGTCTATCACAGGGGTCTGCAAACTATGGTCCTCCAGGTGTTGAACTGAAAGTCCCATGAGGCCTTGCAAGACTGACTGCCATAGGCAAGGTTCCCAGGGGCAGAGGCATGATGGGACTTGTAGTACTTCAACAGCTGGAGGGTCATAGTTTGGAGACACCTGGTCTATCACATAAAATCCCAATAGAATACATTTACGTTTTTGGTTGTAACAAGACAAAATGTGGAAACCATCATCCTGGGGTTGTTGACCTCCGCAGTGCTCAGTGGTTCCTCCAGTAGTGGTGTGGAGGTGGGCTGAAAGTGAAGGAAACCACCAAGTGCAGTGAAGGAAACAGCAGTTGTGCCACTTAAGAGGAGGATTTCTTTACAATGAAGTGGTGTCCAGAGGCGCAAGCAGCAGGAAAAGTATGCTTTATTATTTTACAGGTACAGCTCGTTATGAGTCTCATATAAAAGGTAGAACCTAGGGTTGCTGGGACACCTATATTTTTTTTTTTAACACGCAAACTCTTATTAAGAGAAGAATACATGTAGTCACATCATACATCCAATAGAGGCGAAGACAAAACATTTGGCAAAAAGGAATTATTAGTATACAAACTAGAAACACTTGCCATGGCCAAGGAAAATAAAACATACAGAGTTCAGCTAACATGGTACCTCTACCACAAGGAGAAATTAACATCACATGAAAGGGGCAAAAATAAACCACAATCACACATCCTCCTCCTCACCACAGGTGAACGTGGAGTCAAGCCATTTATCCCAAATTTTATGGTATTTAGCGGGGTATCCTCTATGCATATAAATAACCTTCTTATATGGTAATGTACTGTTTATTGCAGCGACCCACTGCGGAAATGTAGGTGTTAGTGCTTGAAGCCAAGCACGAGCAATCAATCTGGCCGTAAAAAGAGTTTCCTGTAAGAAAATGGTTTGAAATATGTTGGTTTCCGAGCTAAGAAGACCAAGTAAACATCGCTTAGGGCATAGAGTAAGGGGGAGCCCATTTTTGACATGGAGAAACCGGACCACCGGAATCCAATAGCCCTGAATGAGAAGACAAGACTATACGAGATGAAAAAAGGTACCGTCGGAGGCCCCATATTTAGAACAGAGTGGACTGTATCATGGTCCGTATCTAGATAATCAAAGGGGCGTTAGATAGGTTCTATGTAGTATATATAGCTGGGTGAGGTGGCCCGACAATTTCGGGGAGACCAACTTATTTGAGGACAATACCTCCTCCCACATTTCAACATCCAGCTCCCCCACGTCCACCTACCAATGGGTTTTGAGTCGATATGCCAATGTCGATGCAGGGGGTAGAATAATAGCATTGTAGAATGCGGATGTAAGTTTTTTGGACTCCGTACCCAGAATCACATCCATAAGATATATAGAGTCCAGTTGCGGGACGGAGTCACCAAATTGGGCATGCAGCACATGGCGAAGCTGGAGATAGCGGAAGAGCATAAAGTTCAAATTCCGATTTAAGGTCTGGGACACCTGTATTTTCACACCCAATTTGTGCTTAACATAATCAAGAATCCCTAGCTCTAACTAGCAGGCTGTGCTGCAAAGCAGAGCCAGGGAGCACCAAGTGCCCATCTACATAACCCACAACAATAAAACAAGTGTGACAACAGAACTCACCCATCAACATCCTTGGCTGGTGAAACTGCATTGGTGACCTTTTCTGTGTCTATTTTGTGATCTGAATCCAGAGGCAGCTGAACAATCAGACCATGTAACTCCGGGTTCTCATTAATCAACTTTATCTTAGTTAGCACCTAAAACGACACAATGATTATCAGACTTTTACATGTCCTGAATATTACCCCCCACCCCCTATATACCTTCCCTGGGTCCATTTGTCCTGAATTTTACCCCCCCATCCCTTCCTCAGCCTCTGCCTGTCCAAAGTATATTACGCCCCCATCCCTTCCCCAGCCTCTCCCTGTCCTGAATATTACCCACCCAACATACCTTCCCCAGCCTCTGCCTGTCCTGATTATTACACCCCCCCACCCCTTCCCAGGTTCCACCTGTTCCAATTACCCCCAACCCTTCCCAGCCTTCACCTATTCTGAATATTACCCCAATTCCTTCCCAGCTTCCGCCTGCTCTGATTACCCCCATCCCTTCCCAGCCTCCGTCTGTCCTAAATATTACCATCACTTCCCAGCCTCCACGTGTCCTGCATATTACCACTGATTGAGTTTTCCCCATGTTCCTCTTACCTCTACCTCAGTTGCAGTTCTTGGTAACTTGACATGATTAGCATTAATTCCAATCTTGAAGAAAAATTAAAAAGTATATATGAAGACACCAATTTATGACGACATTGTCAGTAAACTCTTAAAGAGAAAGTGTTTTTTTTTTTTTCAGAACGCATATATTTTATGTTTATCAAGTGGACCTTATTCTTAATATACCATAATGAGCAGCAACTATCATTTTCCAAAAAAGCTCCACCTTGTTATAAGCGGTCATTGTGTTTAAGTCCAGTGACTACACACACAAACATTTAATAAAACCACAACAAATTAGATATCTCTCTCTGCTCCTATGTCTATATATTTATCAGCTGTTAATCACAAAAAAAAAGTTTCAAAAATGATTGATTGCGATCTGCCTTGACCCATCTGGTCTTTTTTGCAATAAAATCTTTTAGAAAATGCAGCATGTAGAAGTCAGCAGCTACGAAAAAAAAATTTAGCTGCTGTTAAAAAAACAGCCACTCACCTTTCCCACGATCCCGCATTGCCCCCGCCGCAGCCCGTTTCACTGGCTGTCCTGTATTCCAGGCGCCGGCATCTTCAGTGTGGGCACCCGGCTGTGACAGCTTGTGGCCTCACAGCCGGGTGCCCACTGCGCATGTGCGAGTAGCGCTGCGCTTCCTGAATGGCCTCATCTTCTGGGACCTGTCACGTGTCCCACAAGACTTCGGGGAGGGAGAGTAGGACAACAACTTCCATTTCCGATTGCCTACGCGATCGCAGTGGAAGTTGGAGCGGGTACGTTTTTCCCCCCCGCTCTCCGAAGGTGCCAATCCTTAATGGGGAGCAGGGGACCAATCTTTAAAGCAAAACTTCCCCTGTTGGGTGGAACTCCGCTTTAACCATTATAAAGTTTGCCAGATGTCTTTAAACCCAACACAAAGCATGAGCCAATTATACAGATTATTGCTCATCATACCAATGAGAAATAAAGTTTCGAAGTTTTATGCATTTCCTTGAGAGGACTAAGTTTAAAAGAACATGCACCCCACATACCTGCAGCAGTATGAAATTACCCGCAGCTACACCTGAAACCGGAGCCACTCTGATCAGCAATGCTCAGACAACTCTGGTAATATCAAAGCTTGCCACTCTTTTCACCTGTCACACATTTCTATTGGTGTATCTCTGAGGGGCTGCCACCCTGGCCAAAAGAAAAGTGCAAGAGGCAAGATGGCTACACTACCAGAAGTGCCAAATCTTTGTCAATCAGAAAGGCCCGGCAGTCGGCATACTGCTGCAGCAGAGCTAGAATATTCATTTATTATATGGCACCAGATGCAAAGTCAAAGTGGTTTTGCTTGTGTTGGGAAACCACCCTGACCATTTTATTTTTCCCATTCAGATACGGTTTAAGGGAAAACTCCATTTCCCCATTATAAAGCTTTGTACAGAGACTCTAGATTGGAGAAAGTGAAGTCAAGCTTTGTTACCTCTGCAGCAGCTTTCAGTTTCATGCTGATGTACAGATTGGAATCTTCTCGGTCTCCAACCTATAAAAGAAAGAAAAAGTGGTGATATCTTTAAGGTGTGGCCCCGGTGCCCATTAATAAGACATTATGTACATAAAGAAATTTCAGAACAAAGTATTTTAAAAGTACAGTAATCTTTTTTTAGCAATCCACTGACCACTGCTGCAGTGCTCTGTAAGCCATGAATGCAAAAATATAAATGCACTTTTTTTTATTTTAATGTGTGCGCAATTATTTTTTCCCAAAAAGGTGGACTATGATTTTAAAGTAAATTATACAACAGTAGTTAGACGGAAATTAAGTTGTTTTTTTTATCATAGAAATAAAACAGAGTAGTTAATAATAATATTTATTTTTTGCTAACAAAGTAAACACAAAACAAAGCAAAACACTGAAAAATATTTCTCCATTTGTAGCCAGGCATTGAGCTCTATTTGCATCTATAGATCCATCTATCTAGCAGAAATAGGCATGCCTTTGTTACAGTCAGGTTAGCAACAAGCAAACAGGCAGTGCTGGGCTCTCTTATTTGAAAGTCCAGCAGGATCTGCAAACTACTTGCTGTCATCTTGCAAATGGACCAAGTGCCAAATATTAAAGTAGAAATCCAGCATTCCTATCATTTTAAAGAGTTTGTTTGGGCCAAGCTGCAACATACTGTTTATGGACTTCTGAAGGTAAGCTGTGGTATCTGGGACCAAGCCGTCAGTAGCAGATCCTTTAAAGTGTTACTAAACCCACAACCGTAAAATCAGTCTGTATATGCAGTAAATCATGCTTGTTATACTCACTGTGGAACCTAAGGGGTTAATCCTCTGCATTATGTAAAAAGGATGTTTGATCCTGTCTTCTCTTATCCTCCCCTTCTTCCACATTTCCCATTTCATCTCCTGATAGAACAGAGCCTCAGGGACACTTTGCACATGCTCAGTTTGGTGTGTACTGCTAAATATTTTTTTCTTTTTCTTGGGAGGGTGCATGTTATCAGTACAGGGCAAATCAGCACTGTCCAGACAGAGGTCAGGGGTATACAATCTCAGCGGGCAGCGAGAGAATGAAAACCCCTCCTTCAAGCTTTAACCAGTGCTCTGCTGTACACTGATATAAGTCACAAGACTGCTCTAACTGCTGATGAGAAAAGGTATTTAGTAAAATACCTTAGTTTATATTTACTAAAATAATTGCATTTTCATGTTGTGTGTACTGCGGGAGATCTGATATAGTGAATGCAGGATCCTGGGTTTAGTAACACTTTAAATCTTGTAAGTTGAGAGGTGGGCCCTCCAAGGATTGGACTTGTTCTTCCAGCACATCCCAGTTGTTTGATTGGATTGAGATCTGGAGAATTTGGAGGCCAAAGTCAAAACCTCAAACTTGTTGCATTGCTCAGCCTATTCTTCAACCATATTTGCAGTGTGGCAGGGGCAATATCCTGCTGAAAGAGGCCACTGCCATCAGGGAATACCATTTCCATGAAGGTGTTAAAGTAACATCCACATGATTGGCAGAGCCCAAGGTTTCCCAGCAGAACATTGCTCAAAGCAACACACTGCCTCCGCCAGCTTGCCCTCTTCCCATACTGCATCCTGGTGCCATCTTCTCACCAGGTAAGCGACACACCCGGCCATCCACATGATGTAAAAGAAAACATGATTCATCAGACCGGCCATCTTCTTCCATTGTTCCGTGGTCTAGTCCTGAGCCCACTGTGGGAACGGGTCAGCATGGACACCCTACCCGTTCTGTAGCTACGCTGCCCCATACACAACTGTGATGCCCGTTTTTCCTGCTTTCAATACATTAACCTCAAGGACATCATGTTTCCTTGGTGCCCAATATATTTCCCTGACTTTCAGAGGTCATTGTAACGGGATAAGCAATGCTATTCCCTTGACTGTCAGTGGTCAATATTCTGGCTGATTGGTGTGCATATGTATATACAGTGCTGTGGTCCAGTGCCAGTATGGCTGACTTCCTGCTGGCTGCAGGAATTAAAAAAAAAAAAAAGTCAGGCTAAGTGCTTCTCTGCCATTCAGGAGAGAGCTTGTATTATGATCAATGTATACAAGCCTCTCCTGATTGGCCAAAGTGGAAAGACGGGTGGATGACAGCACATTAGACAGAAAAGTCCTTTTTATTAAAGTTTTAATGTATTAACACAAACTGCCTTTTAGGCAACATACCTGTAAAATCGCCAGGCCGGGCCGGAATCCATTGTACTTCCCCTGCATAGCTTCCACTTCATTTTTCAAACGCTCTCTGACAAGTCTAGAACAAAACAGTTACATAAATTGAAATGAAAAGAACGTGGAAGATGAGCTTACCACATTTTGCATTAGAAGCAGCAGCAAGTGAGATAGAGTATGCCTCATTTCCTGGCTGGAAGACTTCCAGCATCATCAAGCTCTTTCCTCCCCAGCCTTACTGTCCCTGGCCCTCTTGCATGCATTAGATTTCATGTCTTTCAATCATCAGGGCTCAGCATCACAGTGGGCATTACCTAGGGAGGTCTGCATGCAAATATAGTCTGCTTAGGAATGCCCACTCCTCCAAATTGGCATCCACCCATCAGGGCAATACTTGAATATCTCCTCCCAAGAGTCAGCCCACTGTTTGCTTAAAGGCTGAGAGCTAAACAGTCATTACTGAGACAGGGTGGGGTGACGTTTTCGGGAAGCTAGGTACAGCACCCTGCCAGCCCATCCCCACCTGTCATGATCTGACTACACTGCCCAGAGAAGCACAGAGACAAGTGATTAGGTCATTGGATCTAAAAAATACGGTATGCAATGAGAACAGAAGCCATCCTGATCTTCTCAAGCGCCATTTTAAAACAGCGACCGGTTACGATTTATGCGCATGATGCCCGTAATCATGCTGTCATTAGACCACACACATCCCAGGCAAGCTGTACAAAGCCAAAGTGGCTTCTGTGCCTTGTGACTGATGTGATGGTCAATGGCAGCAATCACCAATATGAACACTGATACTGCAACAGGTTTCCTTTAGGAATTTTTTGGTAAAACCAAAAAGAACGCAAGCTGAAAAAATGCTAGGAGGATGGAAAGTTCTAGTTACAACTCTGGTACTGATCGTATAACAATAGTCACACTTCACACTCACTTTCAGCAAGTGAACTGCCATGATATCCCTCTAATTCCCTATCTACAGAACAGAAACAGGGATCTCCAAATGAAGCAGTAACTACATTTCTTGCATTTACACAGTTGTCCCTGAGGGCATTTCGTAGCAAAAGTGGGGCTTTGTGTTAGACAGGCTTTACCTGTTTGGGCATTAGAGGGCTTCCCATCCCCCTAGAAGGGTAGACAGCCTAACTGGGGCCTGGCTTTTACTGACAGCTTTGACTCCATTTCCTGCCCATGTGACACCAGCATGAATAAATAAGTTGGGGGGGGGGGGGGGTACCAAGGAGGGTAAAAAAACAGAAAAAAAAACAAAAAACTGGCAGGTTTTAACTCCTCTGAACATCTGTCCCCAATGGAGAGTGATGCTCATTGCCATCACTGCTTTTCCCGTTATCAGGTCAGGAAGCAAGGGGACATTTTACTATTGGAAATGCATAGGAGTGCATTTATTAAAAAAAAAAAAAATAATAATAATTGCAGAGCTACGAATCCTGCAAAACAGAATATACATTCACTCTGCGCCAGTTACAGCAAAATCGAATTTTACCAGTCTTTTTTCTCTCCAGGTCAGATGTTTTTATTAGAATTGCAGGAATCAAGGATCACATTATGGCCACTAGATGGAGCCGACATTTATAGTAAATATTTATCTCCCAGGGTCAACAGCTCCATCTAGTGCCTATAAAGTGCATGTAGTTTTACAAGACAAACGGCTTTGCAAATTTTTTTTAAATACACTCAATAAAGCAATAAAAAAAAATGGAAAGTCTGGACCTGATTATATACAGAAAAGAGATGTAAAACTTTATAATTAGCTTTGTATTGAGCAGTGAAGTATTATAACCCCTTCAATTGTTTTATTTATTTTGTTACTGCATTTGTGTCTGGTTGCAAAGACAAAATAAAAGGATAAATATCTTCAGAGTAAGCTCTGGTTCACACTAAAACAGTACAGGAAACCTGCGAGTTTCCCATGCTGCGTTCAAATACCACTGCCCTTGCGATTGGCAGCAGGTGTCAGTGCAATGCGAATGACACCCCCAAACAGTGTGTTTGCTTGCAGATTGCATGGTACAAAAATGACTATGTGATCCAGTGGAATTGAGTTTCTAAAATTGCTGTATGCACCACTTTGGTGCGGTGCAGTGCGTTTTGCCCATCCAAAATGAATGGGCTCAAATTACACCGCAATGAATCGCATATGAATTGCACCGGAGTGTGTTGCGATTCCTGTGCAATGTCTAGGTGATTTATAGAGCAAATGGGTACCAAGAGGAAATCCCAAATATAAGAGTTGTCATGGGAACAAATGGTGATTTCCAGTGGGGACACATGTTCTGGTGACCACTAAGGCAAGAATTCTCCTCACTCTGGGGACATTTCATCTCACTTCATCTTCAAAACAGGAAGTGAAGGGAAATCTCCCTATTGGGACTCAGACTGCAATCAATATCCTGATGGGTGTTTAACCCTTGCCCTCTCTAACCAAAACTAAAACGGGTTTTGGATTGACATACACCTTTAGATAAAACTGTCAGATCATGCTGGGAGTTATGTTACAATAGTTCCAAAAGTATTCTAAACATGATTTAAAAGGAAAAAAAAAAACAAGAAAAAAAAAAAACTTTAAATATCTGATTTAAGCAGAAGCCACCATTTTTCTGATTAGAGTTTGACCCCCTCCCCCCTTGACCTGATCAGAAACACAATCCCCCCTCCATTTCTTTGATCAGAGCAGAACCCCCCCATCCATTTTTTTGATCTGATTGGAACCCCCACCCCTCCCCTAATATCTCTGACCCGAGTGTAACCCTCCCATGCCCCCTAATATCTCTGATCTGAGCAGGACCCAAACCCACATCTGAGTCAAGTAGAACCCCCCTCCCCCCCAATATCTCTGATTCAAGCAGAGCCCCACAATATATCTGATCTCAGAAGAACCCTCATTTTCTGATCCAAACAGAACCCCCCCCCCTCAATTTCTCTAATATGAGCAGAACCCCCCCATCTCTGATCTGAGCAGAACCTTCCACCTCTGATCTGAGCAGAACCCCCCCCCCCCCCATCTCTGATCTGAGCAGACCCCCCCCATCTCTGATCTAAACAGATCTTTATCTCTGGCATCTGACCGTCAGCAGTCACCTGATTTCACTGAACCCTGGTCACATGAATACCCAATTCTTCACACTTCACTACACATTACCAGTTTCCTATTCATCCGTTACATCTCTTATTAATCTATAGGGGTCAGTAGTGTGTTCAGCCAGTTCTAGATGTCCTGCAGTAACCTCAATCAGAACTCTTCGCTTAGAGAATAAGTATTTCCTGGTTTGTTTTCAGATCACAGAGCAGTACAGAGTACACGTCTTCTTGCATCTTTGTACTTGAATATGGATAAGCCACCAATTTGACATCTGCCCATTGAGAACAGAGCACTGTGCTGGCATCAAAGCCTGGCATGGCAATAATGATCCTGGTGCAACAACAAATGTTATCAGCAGGCATCACGCCACCTTGCTGCAGGGGAACAAGGGTCACCGCTGTTATTCTTTCCACTCCCACTACGCCCAGATCACCAGATCCTTGCATCACAGCAAGAACACAATGTAACTGGAGACTTAACCCCAGGTAGGGAAAAACACAAAATATCACCATTCTGGGTGGGGGGGTTGGTTGTTGACTTTTAACCAATCAGAGTTGACATTACTTATTTTTCTCCATGTAGGAGTAAAAATAGATCACTACCTCCTATATATTCATACACAAGAACTCATCATGGAGAACAAATACCATTGTTACCCTCCAAAAATCAAGAAGGAAAAAAAAAAAAAGGATGGATTTCAGCTTGAGTTCTACTTTAATTGGTCCATGCATATCACAATCCATTAATAGGATCCTGTAGTTTAGGGGTCTGCAACCCCCAGAACCCGTGTCTGGACAGGCAGGTGATGCCATCTCCACCAGCATAGGAAATCATTGACTCTTACTGACTGATCTCTAGGCAGTGAAAGCAGGTGGCTTCAGAGGGATCCTACTTTATAAAAAAGCAATGAGAGAGAGAGAAAAAAAAAAAAATATATATATATATTTTAACCGCCCCCCGCCCGCCATTTAAGGCAATGATGGGCGCAAGACGGTTCTCTCATTCTGGGAGGACGTCATAGGACTTCCTCCCACTCTAACTGAGCGTGTGCGGCGATCGGTGGTGCACTGTGTCCCTTGGACACAGCAGATCACCGATCAACAGAAAGGGCTGAAGATGTCGGGTCAGTCGTGATCAGCTGTGTCCAATCACAGCTGATCGTATGTAAACAGGGAAATGCTGGTTAACGGCATTTCTCTCCTCACAAGCTGTCACGCTGATAGCTCGAGAGGAGAGCTGGTAATTGGCATTCCACAGAGAGGACATGTACACGGATCATCAGGGCACTGATGATCAGTGTGCCCTGATGATCAGTGTAGCCCCAGCAGTGCCAGCTGTCAGTGTTCATCAATGCCAGCTGTCAGTGCCCATTAGTGCCACATCAATGCCACATGTGCCCATCTGAGCTGCCTTTCAGTGTCACCTATCAGTGCCCATCAGTGATGCCTATTAGTGCTTCCTCCACAGTGCCGCCTATCAGTGCCCATCAGTGCAACCTCATTAGCACACATCACTGAACGAGAAAAATCAATTAATTTACAAAATTTCATCACATAAACAAAGAAAAAAAACTTTTTTTTTCTTCAAAATTTCCAGTTGTTTTTGGTTTGTTTAGCAAAAAATAAAAAACCCAGAGATGATTATATACTACCAAAAGAAAGCTCTGTCTCAAAAAAAAAAAAAAAAAAAAAAAAAAAAAAAAAGATAAAAATTTCATATGGGTACAGTGTGGCATGACTGTACATGGGTACAGTGTGGCATGACTGTACATATGAAAGTTTTTTTTTCTATGGGTACAGTGTTGCATGACCGCGCAATTGTCATTCAAAGGGTGACAGCGCTGAAAACTGGCCTGGGCGGGAAGGGGGTATAAGTGCCCTGTAGGCAAGTGGTTAAAGTTTACACAAATACAAAGTTTGCGAAGTCTTTTCTGCAACCAAATAAACCTCCATGCCTGTTTGCAATCTTCTACGGCACGTGCCGCTCAGTTTGCACCTCCGGCACAGTCCCTGTGTGTTGGGATGGCCGACTCTTGTGCAAGCAGAAGTGCTAGGTTGTTCTCTGTTAGCCAATCAAGATGGTTGAAGGGCCAGTTCACACTACATGCGTTTCAGTTGCTTTGTTTCTGCATCCAAAACGCACAGAAAGTAGGTGATATGGTTGTCAATGTCAAAGTTCACATCAATGCTTGCAGTTTCAGTGCGTTCTGGATACAGAAAAAGAAGAAAAAAAAAAAAGTAAAACATGCTGCATTTTTTTCTGCACAAAACTGTACTGAAACGCGGTAAAACGCATCAAAAACACACTGGAACACACGTCCCTATATAAATTGAAGGAAAAGAGTGGAATAAAATGAACTGGAGTGCATAATAACGCACCAAAAATGAGCCACGCGTTTCCACAGTGTGAACCGGCCGAAGACCAATACCCAGAAGAAGCCACGGAGAAGATACCAGTCCCTTACGGACATCAAACTGTTGCAGAGTCCTGGTGTTGTTAGCACTGCCCGGACATTTGGCCACCACATCCAATTCCACCTGCACTCCCTGCTCTCCTCTGAATCTGCATCTCAGCCCTGTAGATAAAACAGGGCAGGGGTAAGATTTCCAGTGGGAGGTGTAAGGTGATCACCAGATCCAAGAGCTTAGAGCGCTGTTCCAGTGAAAATAAAATAAATAAATGTCAGCAGCTACAAAAACTGGAGCTGCTGAACTTACAAAACGGACACTCACCCGTTCTCGATCCTGTGGCGTCCACCCTGCTTCCCCAGCCACCGTGTTCCAGGTGCCGGCATCTTCATTGTGGGCACCCGGCTGTGACAGCTTGCGGCTTCACAACTGGGTGCCCACTGCGCTTTGTGAATGGTCCCGTAGTCTTCTAGGACTTGTCACGTGTCCCAAAAGACTACGGGAAGGGGGGGCAACTTCTGATCGCCTGGGCGATCGCAGCAGAAGTGGGAGTGGGTACCTGTCAATTTCAGGCACCCACACCCCAAAGGTGCCCATCTTTAACGGGGAGCGGCGGACCAGTCCTTAACTTCCCCTTTTGAGCGGAGCTTCGCTTTAAAATGTTATGAATTAGGAAAAAGGTAAAACGAAGATTATGAAGGAGGCTTGGAGACCAAACAACCAACTTCTGGACTATGTTAAAGAGGTTGTAAAGACTTAAAGTTTTTTTACAATCATGGATTCTATGCATGAAGATAGAAAACCATCCGTGTGCAGCTCTCCCCACAACTTCTGAGCCACATCTCAACCCAGTGCTGTGCATGAGAGCCTTGGCTTCCCTGAGTCTCTCTCTCCTCATTGGCTCCCACTGCTGTCAATCACAGAAAGTGAGGACAGGGCAGGACTGAGCCATGCTCTGTGTGCCTTAGGCCCCTTTCACACGGGCGTTCCGTTTTTTTCTTTGAAAAACCGTGACTGAATTGATGGAACAAAAGAAAAACAAAATCAGTTTACATCAGTTTTTTACATTCTTAACCAATGCAATAACAGACAGTATGTCCGTTTACAGGTTTTTGGTTTATTTCACTGAAGAAAAATAGGGCTTTCTTCTGTTCAGAAAAAAAAAAATGGATGTTAACAGATGCGGACATAAACGGATGTAAACAGATGATCATCCGCAAGTCCATAGAAATGCATGGGTGTCAGTTTTACATGCGTAAACGGACAGATGAAAACCCCATGTGTAAGGACCCTAATAGATACAGAGAGTGGGACTTGGGAGCGATCCCACACAAGAGCCCCCCTCCCGAACAAGCACCATCCTATGGGGGCACTGAGTGTGGGGGTATTTGGGGGGGGGGGGGGGGGAACCAGAAGCGCCAGCAGGGGACTTGAGAAGAGGATCAGGGCTGCTCTATGCAAAACCATTGCACACAGCAGGTAAGTTTAAATTTTGTTTTCTTTTTTTAAACCCAAGTCTTTAATTTTCCAGCTCACTGGGGTTGATGGCTAGTCTGAGGTCTGAAGTTGCACGCATTTGGGCTTTTTATAGCCGACTGGGGTCCCGAAGGCGCACGCCCCGACGGCCAACCTGGGGTCCCGAAGGCGCACGCCCCGACGGCCAACCTGGGGTCCCGAAGGCGCACGCCCCGACGGCCAACCTGGGGTCCCGAAGGCGCACGCCCCGACGGCCAACCTGGGGTCCCGAAGGCGCACGCCCCGACGGCCAACCTGGGGTCCCGAAGGCGCACGCCCCGACGGCCAACCTGGGGTCCCGAAGGCGCACGCCCCGACGGCCAACCTGGGGTCCCGAAGGCGCACGCCCCGACGGCCAACCTGGGGTCCCGAAGGCGCACGCCCCGACGGCCAACCTGGGGTCCCGAAGGCGCACGCCCCGACGGCCAACCTGGGGTCCAAAGAGTGACACATTTGGGCTTATCATAGGAGATCTGCGGTCCAAGGGCGCATGCATTGGTGGGCGATCTGGGGGTCACCGGTAGGGTTGGCCATCAGAATACAACAGAAGCAGCATGAGATCTGTGCTCCCATATAGCATGGCTGGAAGAACTTGTTTTATTGAAGAGTGTATGGCCAGATACATGTCAATACATGATCAATGTCTTTCCCAAGAAATTTCCTCCATAAGAAATAATCTATCTATAGTAGATAACCTGATATATACACACACATATACATACACACAGGACAGCAGATCTCATTTGACAGTTGGAGGATTCAACTCAAATTCTCCATCACCTCTCTTATCTCCGTGTGATCTCACAATCTGACAAAGATACGACCTTATCCCTGAACAGAGTCTCAGTGCTGCCGATTGACCGATCATTTTCTGCCCTGGCTGATGAGCTGTTTGATTGAGTCCAGTGTATGGAGAGCAGAAGATACATTACAGCCCATTGATTGAATGGCGCAGTGATCAGATAATGGAGGTGTGTAGGACCACCAGGCTACCACTACATGTGACAATTGGACCAACAACCAAGGTTAGATTCACCTAAACTGAGCAATAATCTATCACTTGTTTGTAAATCTCCAGCAGATTGTACAATGTTTGGTCAGCTGAAGAGATCCAAGGGGGGGGGGGGGAATAAAAAATACTACCCCCCCCCCCCCAATGGCAATGTCTCCAGAACTGAGGAGACCCCTGACAGCACAGTTAACCCCTTCCACGCCACTGATCTCAACTCCTACACTCCATCATTCATGCAATTAACCCCCTGTGTGCCGAGACGCCGAACTCTGTCCCTTTCCTTTTATTTTTTTTACCCCCCCCCCCTTGCACACACTGTGGCAGGACCCCCAAATCTGACAGATGAACCCCTCCAGCACACTCACCCGGAGACCACCTTCCCGCTGAGGACCTGGGCCGGCATGCTGTCAGCACAGTACACGGGGACTCGGCTCCACAAGGCTCCGATGGTGCAGCTCCGCCCGGGATCTGTACACAGACACAGGACACAACTGTCTACCCTCGTGGTGGCAAGAGGTTCGGACGGCGCATGCGGGCCCCGGACAAAGAGGCGGAGGCACCCAGCATGTGGGCGGGGACAATAGGCATAGCCCGACCCCCTGGAGATAATCAGAGTCATCAGTTGCCGCTACAGAATGACAGCAGGGGAGTGGGAGGGGCTATGGGTGGTCACATGGCGGGGAAGCGGAGTGCTGTTGGCTCTTGTGAGGGAGGTGGCGCTAAAAAGGCGCAGGCAGGGGTTCGAAGGCGAAAGCAGGCACAATGAGGGCGACCCGAGGGGGGCCATAGGCGCTAACGGGGCGTCCAGATGGAGAAAAAAGGGGCTGAGGTGCCCCTAAAACAAAACAGGCGCTAATGCCACACGGTGACTAAAGTAGGAAATATGCGCCATGGGGTGCCGCCTCATCCCTCTAAAACAGAACACACGAATCCCACAGGTTCTGGGGCCGATGTAATGCAGATTCAGGAGTTTACGGGGATGAGGTGGCCCGCGTGCCACGTGAGAAAACGTGTGAAAAGTTGTTATTAGGCGTTATAAGGGCGCAAAGGGGAAAGGAGCCCAAAAGGCTCCCAGCAGTGCGAATGGTGCTTATGGGGTACATAAGGTGAACGTTGTGTGTATGGGGCGCCCAGGTGGGAAACACTAATTTCAATGACTGGGCCCTATTCCATCCATTAATATCAATGACGGGGCCCTATTCCATCCACTAATTTCAATGACGGGGCCCTATTCCATCCACTAATATCAATGACGGGGCCCTATTCCATCCACTAATATCAATGACGGGGCCCTATTGCATCCACTAATTTCAATGACGGGGCCCTATTCCATCCACTAATATCAATGACGGGGCCCTATTCCATCCACTAATATCAATGACGGGGCCCTATTCCATCCACTAATAGCAATGATGGGGCCCTATTCCATCCACTAATTTCAATGACGGGGCCCTATTCCATCCACTAATATCAATGACGAGGCCCTATTTGATCCACTAATATCAATGATGGGGCCCTATTCCATCCACTAATATCAATGATGGGGCCCTATTCCATCCACTAATATCAATAATGGGGCCCTATTCCATCCACTAATAGCAATGATAGGGCCCTATTCCATCCACTAATATCAATGACGAGGCCCTATTTGATCCACTAATATCAATGATGGGGCCCTATTCCATCCACTAATATCAATGATGGGTCCCTATTCCATCCACTAATAGCAATGATGGGGCCCTATTCCATCCACTAATATTAATGATGGGCCAATATTCTTTCCAGTGATAGCAATTATTGAGCACTACTCCCTACTGACCACAGGCACTACTACTCCTCCTTCTACTGACCACAGGCACTATTCCTCCTACTGACCACAGGCACTAGTACTTCTCCACCTACTGAGCACAGGCACTACTACTCCTCCTCCTACTGACCACAGGCACTAGTACTTCTCCACCTACTGACCACAGGCACTACTACTCCTCCTCCTACTGACCACAGGCACTACTACTCCTCCTCCTACTGACCACAGGCACTACTAGTCCTCCTACTGACCACAGGCACTACTACTCCTCCTCCTACTGACCACAGGCACTACTACTCCTCCTACTGACCACAAGCACTACTACTCCTCCTCCTACTGACCACAGGCACTACTCCTCCTCCTCCTACTGACCACAGGCACTACTAGTCCTCCTACTGACCACAGGCACTACTCCTCCTCCTCCTACTGACCACAGGCACTACTACTCCTCCTTCTACTGACCACAGGCACTACTACTCCTCCTGACCACAAGCACTACTACTCCTCCTCCTCCTACTGACCACAGGCACTACTCCTCCTCCTACTGACCACAGGCACTACTACTCCTCCTCCTACTGACCACAGGCACTACTACTCCTCCTACTGACCACAGGCACTACTACTCCTCCTCCTACTGACCACAGGCACTACTACTCCTCCTCCTACTGACCACAGGCACTACTACTCCTCCTACTGACCACAGGCACAACTACTCCTCCTACTGACCACACACACTACTACTCCTCCTACTGATCACAGGCACTACTACTCCTCCTACTGACCACACACACACTACTACTCCTCCTACTGATCACAGGCACTACTACTCCTCCTCCTACTGACCACAGGCACTACTACTCCTCCTCCTACTGACCACAGGCACTACTACTCCTCCTCCTACTGACCACAGGCACTATTCCTCCTCCTACTGACCACAGGCACTACTACTCTTCCTCCTACTGACCACAGGCACTATTCCTCCTCCTGCTGACCACAGGCACTACTACTCCTCCTCCTACTGACCACAGGCACTACTACTCCTCCTCCTACTGACCACAGGCACTACTACTCCTCCTGACCACAAGCACTACTACTCCTCCTCCTACTGACCACTGGCACTACTCCTCCTCCTACTGACCACAGGCACTACTACTCCTCCTACTGACCACAGGCACTACTACTCCTCCTCCTACTGACCACAGGCACTACTACTCCTCCTACTGACCACAGGCATTACTACTCCTCCTACTGACCACACACACTACTACTACTCCTCCTACTGATCACAGGCACTACTACTCCTCCTCCTACTGACCACAGGCACTACTACTCCTCCTCCTCCTACTGACAACAGGCACTACTACTCCTCCTCCTACTGACCACAGGCATTACTACTCCTCCTCCTACTGACCACAGGCACTATTCCTCCTCCTACTGACCACAGGCACTACTACTCCTCCTCCTACTGACCACAGGCACTATTCCTCCTCCTGCTGACCACAGGCACTACTACTCCTCCTCCTACTGATCACAGGCACTACTACTCCTCCTCCTACTGACCACAGGCACTACTACTCCTCCTCCTACTGACCACAGGCACTACTACTCCTCCTACTGACCACAGGCACTACTACTCCTCCTCCTACTGACCACAGGCACTACTACTCCTCCTACTGACCACAGGCACTACTACTCCTCCTACTGACCACACACACTACTACTCCTCCTACTGATCACAGGCACTACTACTCCTCCTCCTACTGACCACAGGCACTACTACTCCTCCTCCTACTGACCACAGGCACTACTACTCCTCCTACTGACCACAGGCACTATTCCTCCTCCTACTGACCACAGGCACTACTACTCCTCCTCCTACTGACCACAGGCACTATTCCTCCTCCTGCTGACCACAGGTACTACTACTCCTCCTCCTACTGACCACAGGCACTACTACTCCTCCTCCTACTGACCACAGGCACTACTACTCCTCCTACTGACCACAGGCACTACGCCTCCTCCTACTGACCACAAGCACTACTACTCCTCCTCCTACTGACCCACAGGCACTACCACTCCTCCTCCTGCTGACCACAGGCACTACTACTCCTCCTACTGACCACAGGCACTACTACTCCTTCTCCTACTGACCACATGCACTACTACTCCTCCTCCTACTGACCACAGGCACTACTACTCCTCCTACTGACCACAGGCACTACTACTACTCCTCCTACTGACCACAGGCACTCCTCCTCCTCCTACTGACCACAGGCACTACTACTCCTCCTCCTACTGACCACAGGCACTACTACTCCTCCTCCTACTGACCACAGGCACTACTACTCCTCCTCCTACTGATCACAGGCACTACTGCTCCTCCTCCTACTGATCACAGGCACTATTCCTCCTCCTACTGACCACAGGCACTACTACTCCTCCTCCTACTGACTACAGGCACTACTGAACACCACACCTGAGACCTTACTCTCACTAATGTTGGGCCTGAGACTTTTTCTACCCCCGCTGGCTACAATTTGGCCCCCTAAGTCCTCATGCACACGGGACATTTTTACAGCGGCTGTTTTTGGCTTTTGTGGTTTTTCTACAGCCAGTAAACTCCTCGGCATTTTATCCTATGTGCCGATGCACACATAGACTGTAATCAGCATTTTTTGTGGCTGGAAAACCCCCCAGAACTAGTGCGTTTCTAGAGGAGTTTTTTGTTTTTCTACAATCAAGTTTATTTATTATTTATTTTTGGTCACTTATACACTCGTTTATCACTGGCACTTTTATTACACTTTGTGTTATGCAGATGTTTGTATATTTTTGTCCATTGCTTTGATTTTTCACCGGTTGTTTTTTAGTGGTTCCTATACTCCTACACTTGGGTGTGGGGTTTATTTATTTATCTATTTATTTATTTGTTCACTGAGTAGCACAGCACCAACCCACTGTATATATTTCTGTCACTATTGGGATTATAGTCCGATGTCTGCGGCCACTTGGCGGTGATTATAGTTACCTGGCAGTGCAGGAGGATTTTTTTTATTTGTCGTTCAGCCCTATAACATCATGTTTTGTGTGAGAGCAGTGCGAATGAGCCCTGGAGATGAATTCCAGGTATGGTGTGTGTTGCATAGTTACGTTGATCCAGCTTGGAGCAATGTTAGTATACATATTCTACACCAGTGAGATGTCCAAAAGGAGAATTGATGTAGTAGCCAACACTACTACAATGATCCTCGCTGTCTTCCTGATCCTGTGCCGAGCACCTGCCCTGCTGCATAGTATCCTCAGGTGGTCACCCACATAGCATGGGAGCCATTCACAGAACACCTTGAATTTTTCATAATGAATACAAAGCATTCTCTTATTGGATGAGGTGGGGTGGTGATGGCATGATCTCCACCCTGTCCAATTAGAGAACGTCTTGTTTTCATTGAGAAAAATACAAGGCATCCTCTGAATGTCACCCCCTGTGGTCACTACACAGCAGGTCTTGGTGCCAGATCTGGAAGAGAGCAAGGATCACTGTAGAAGCAGTGGCTACTAAAGTGATATACAGTGTTCACAGGGAACCCACAGGTATGGAATATGCATACTAAACATTGATCCAAGCTGGAACATACCTATACAGTATAAATCATACCTGGAATTCAGCTTTTTAGTTCAGCATACATGTTACAATCTGATTTTACAATTTCCTTTAAAACATAACTATACTCACCTTAGCTCAAGCACAGTGTCATCCCAGAGCTCCCCATCTGGCCAATAACTTCAGG